CGGGTGGCACAGTTGGTCGTGTCACACCATCTCTAAATATTTAATTTTAAATAGCTTTAAGGGATATGGACACCCGTCAGTGATGTTAAGCATTTGTTCGTGTTTCTTATAGATGGCAAAGCATGCAGTACGGCGCATGCGGTGAGCGACTCCCTTCATCAACACGCAGAATCGCCTTTATCTAATTTGCTTAAACTAAGCATTCTAAAGCCGCCTTTCCACTGCACACGACAATTGGACACGACTGTAGGCATACGCCCCCTTGTGGCAGCCACACAGTACTTTCTGTGTTGTCGTGCACCACGGGGGAGAGAAGCTGATTCAATGTCCGAAATAAAGTAGGGCAAAAGCAAGAGCCTTTATTCTTGGTCTGTTTACAGTTTAATGGATGAATAAATACTAGAAACTCATAGACCACTAAAATATTGGATGGAATGTGGAGACAACATTAAAAATATATATTTTTATAACTTTCTTACATTTATGAACAAAAAAGTATACTTTTATAATTAAAAAAATAACCAAATAAACTATTTCTCATCTCACGCGCACAGAACTGCTTGGACAATATTGACAGGACAGATTGACCGGTGCTCCCTATGGTATACCCATAGTGGTTAGCACCTCAGTGGTTAGCAGTTTCACCTCAAAGCAAGAAGCTGATTTGAGCCCCGGCTGTGTCAGCTGGCATTTCAGTGAGGAGTTTGCATGTTCTCTCCGTGTTCACATGGGTTTCCTCCAGGTGCTACTGTTTCCCCCACAGTCCAACGACATGCGCCATAAGTAAACTGAATTAACAAAATTGTCCATAGTGTATGAGTGTGGTCACTGGTCCACTGGTTGGTCACTGGTTCGAGCCTCAGCTGGGTCAGCTGGCATTTTTGTGTGGAGTTCTGTGCATGTTCTCCCTGCGTTCGCGTAGGTTTCCTCCGGGTGCTCCGGTTTCCTCCAGGTGCTCCGGTTTCCCCCACAGTCCAAAGACATGGGGTACAGGCAGGGCCGGAGCAAGCTAAACTGCCGCTCTAGGCAAAGGATGGTCACGCCGCCCACAAACCTAAAGTGAAACCGGGAGGTGGGGGGGGTCTATTCTGCCGCCCTAGACGCAGCTATAACTGAGGCGCGGGTGACGACACTGGCGAGGGTAGTTGAGGAGACGCCACCCTCTCTATTCTGCTGCACTAGACGCGGATGAGGGCGCGGGTAGTGAGGGTAGTTTTGGGGACGCCGCTCTCAATATTCTGCCACTCTAGACGCGGATGAGGGAGCGGGTGGTGAGGGTTGTGTCGGGGACGCCGCCCTCTCTGTTGCGTAAAACATTTGCTGGATAAGTTGCCGGTTCATTCCGCTGTGGCGACCCCTGATTAATAAAGGGACTACGCCGAAAAGGAAAGTTATGAACTTCACGTTGAGGTGAAACACAAGTATGAGGTAACATGAATGAAGCTGTGGTCACACTGGACTTTTCTCTCCACCAGGCCCGTGCAGAGACCGTCAAAAGGGCATGTGCAGGATAAATTTTCAGATCTGCAGAGTGGATGCGCGCGTACTGAAGAGCGGTGTTATCGCGCGCGTACTGATCAGCTGTGTTGTCGCGCGCGTACTCAAGAGCGTTGTTGTCGCGCGCCTACTGAAGGCCGGGACCGAAGGTGTGTCGCGTCGCGGGGCACTTTTGATCATTTTGGAAGGGCACTTTCTATCCAAGACTAAAAAGGGCATGTGCACTGCACAGGTTGAGCCCTATGTGTGCACGTGCCTGCTCTCCACAGACATTCATTCAGGCGGAGACCGGAAATGCAAGCTTTTGCGACAAGTTTCGCAGTGCGTGGCAAAGTTCAAACTTGGTGAACTCTGACCTGTAAAATGGCATCAAGTGACTGCGTGAGATTAATCGAAGATTAGACCTCTCTACAAAGAAATGTAAGATATGGACCAATCACTCGCTTTATTTAACCTGAAGACATGGACGATTATTAATTGCAGCTAACTGTTTGGAAGCGTTAAAAGTGTCCAAGAAGATGTACAAAATCTTTACACGCACTGACCCAGAGACTGTTTAGATGATGTCACTGATCAGAAGATGACGGATGTTTCCTGTATAATGACTGAAATGGCCTTAAACACCCAGCAGGCACAAGACGTCAGCATGACGTCAGATTGACATTGTACCCTAACGTCATGGGGACGTTGCATTTTATTTGGAAATGAAAATCGTGTTGACATTTGAATTCAACGTCAGGCCAAAGTCAATGTCCAACTTCCAACCTAAAACCAACCAAATATCAACGTCTAATGATGTTACAGCTTGACGGTGTGTGGGCGTTACCACTATTGACATTGATCAGATGTTGGATTTTGGTTGCCATACCTGACGAATAAATGTCATTTTTTAAAGTCAATATGATATTGGTTTTAGATGTTGGATCGACATTGGATTTTGGTCACTTTCTAACAACCTAAAATCAACCAAATATCAACGTCATTATTGGACATCAAAATAACGTCCTTAGATGCTGAACTTTGGTCACCTGACATCACGACCTAAATCTAACCTAATATTAACGTCTTATGGCGTTGTGTGCCTGCTAAGCAATAACTCGATGCACTACTACAGAATGTTACGTTTACACACCAAAATCTTTACACGCATTGACCCAGAGACTGTTTAGATGATGTCACTGATGAGAAGATGACAGATGTTTACTGTTTGATGACTGAAATGGCCTTAAACACCCAGCAGGCACAAGATGTCAGCATGACGTCAGATTGACATTGTACCCTAACGTCATGGGGACGTTGCATTTTATTTGGAAATGAAAATCGTGTTGACATTTGAATTCAACGTCAGGCCAAAGTCAATGTCCAACTTCCAACCTAAAACCAACCAAATTTCAACGTCTAATGATGTTACAGCTTGACGTTGTGTGGGCGTTACCACTATTGACATCAATCAATCAATCAATCAATCAATCAATCAAGCCTTTATTTGTCACTACACTTTCGTATAGCGAAATTGGACCCCCCAGACCATAGACAAAACATCACAAACAACTTTTCAGGGGAGACAGATCTTAGGAGGTAGCATTTAGAAACGAAGAAAGATACATTTGGACAGTTAGGCTAAAAAACACCCCCTCAGCTTGCCCTTGATTAGGACAAAGTGAGAAAAGGGAGAAAAACAGACATTGATCGGATGTTAGATTTTGGTTGCCATTCCTGACGAATAAATGTCATTTTTTGATGTCAATAGGATGTTGGTTTTAGATGTTGGATCAACATTGGATTTTGGTCAATTTCTAACAACCTAAAATCAACCAAATATAAACGTCATTATTGGACATCAAAATAACGTCCTTAGATGCTGAACTTTGGTCACCTGACATCACGACCTAAATCTAACCTAATATTAACGTCTTATGGCGTTGTGTGCAATGACTCGATACACTACTACAGAATGTTACGTTTACACACACATCCACAAGTTACATGTAAATGTCTCCTCTTTTAACAGCGTAATATTCACTACTCTCGAGTACTCTCGAGCCACAGCCATATCACCCTGCAGCCCAAGACCGGTTACTCACTGAAGCTAAGCAGGGCTGAGCCTGGTTAGTACCTGGATGGGAGACCACTAGGGAACACTAGGTTGCTGTTGGAAGTGGTGTTAGTGAGGCCAGCAGGGGGCGCTCAACCCGTGGTCTGTGTGAGTCCTAATGCCCCAGTAAAAGTGAAGGGGACACTATACTGTCAGTGAGCGCCGTCTTTCGGATGAGACGTTAAACCGAGGTCCTGACTCTCTGTGGTCATTAAAAATCCCATGGCACTTCTCGTGAAAGAGCAGGGGTGTAACCCCGGTGTCCTGGCCAAAGTCCCTCTATCGGCCCTTACGATCATGGCCTCCCAATCATCCCCTTCCACCGAATTGGCTCGATCACTGTCTCTCCACTCCACCTATAGCTGGTGTGTGGTGAGCGCACTGGCGCCGTTGTCCTGTGGCTGCCGTCGCATCATCCAAGTGGATGCTGCACACTGGTGGTAGTGTGGAGAGACCCCCCTCATGATTGTGAAGCGCTTTGGGTGTATGGCCATACACAATAAATGCGCTATATAAATACACATTACATTACATTACATTTACATTACATTTACATTACTTTTGAAAGGGCTACTCTTCACTCATAATATTACAACAGGTATTTTTACTCTACTTGCACTACATTTTTAGGCTAGTAATGGTGCTTTTACTCGAGTATGATTTTTCAGTACTCTTTCCACCACTGTAGATATCCTATAAACAAACAATATACTGACATATCTAATATATATGTATGTGTGTGTATATATATATATATATATATATATATATATATATATATATATATATATATATATATATATATATATTTCATGGGGCTTTGAATGTATTTACTAACATAAACATTTAGTAACACATTTATAATGGTAATAGTTAATGTTTGTTTACTCTAGTTACTGTTATTTCAGCTAAATAACGTTAGTTCCTGGTAACGTACTGTGCATTATGTTAACAAACACATTTGTGGATGTTAATAATGCTTTAGTTAATGTTTAACTCTACGAATGAATTATTTACAAGATGATTAATTCTTAGTTAATGTTAGTAAACACATTTAAATGATCATTGCATCAAGTAGGTAGGCCAACAGTTCGTTTGATTGCAGTGTGATGAAATAATGCAAGACATTGCGCGGTGTTCTGAATAAATTGACGCCTTTTTAGGGCTCTCAGCAGTGCTCGAGTGTTATGTATATCAGTCTTGAATATCCACACATGCATCAGACGGACAGGCAGCTGACCGACTGCAGAGCATCAGTGCACACCGCGCCGAACATACCCTGATCACGCACAGTCGCGCTCTGCTCATTGGCTGACGCTCCGCGCACCCTTGTCGTTGATTGGCTGGAGCGGAAGCCACGCCTGCAGGCCCCGCTCAGTTCTCTGAATGAATCCGAGCTGTGGTATTCATCATAATGACTCTTGCGTTATCGGTCAGAGTGATAATATAACATCAGCATGTCATCTCCATCTCACAGTGTAAGTACAACCATCTGCATTTATCTTATATTAATCTGTCATACTTATATATAGCCTTTACATATGTCTTTTATGTTCATGAAAAGTAAGTTTGCTGCTAATAAGCTAATTTAAAAATGTTATATAATGTCTTCCAGATCAGTATTGTTATACCTTCAAAGAAATTATCTGGCTGAAAATATAATTAATGAAGAATATGGTATTTATTGCAAGTAATGCATATTTATGCAACAAATTATATGATTTTAATTAAATATGCATTAGTTAAGATGTTTAAACCAATAATAAAAAATATATTAATCACTATAATCATATAATAATGTATGATAAAAAGAAATTTTCAAATATATCAATAAAATATTAAAGTTAATACTTTTTTTTCATTAAATGTGTATTGTCAGTTTTATGAGGAAAATTGAGATAGCTTTATATATATATATATTAACTTTTAGAAAAATATCATCATTTTCATTTTCTTGTCGCCATTAATCCAGGGTCGCCACAGCGGAATAACCCGCCAACTTATCCAGCCCGTTTTTACGTAGCGGATACCCTTCCAGCCGCAACCCCTCTCTGGGAAACATCCACACACACACACACATACACTATAGACAATTTAGCCTACCCAATTCACCTGTACCGCATGTCTTTGGACTGTGGGGGAAACCGGAGCACCCGGAGGAAACCCACACGAACGCAGGGAGAACATGCAAACTCCACACAGAAACACCAACTGACCCGAGGTTCGAACCAGCGACCTTCTTGCTGTAAGGCGACAGCACTACCTACTGCACCACTGCTTCGCCCTTTTAGAAAAACATTAAAAACTAATTTAAATAAATTAATCTAATAAATATTTATTAAATATAATATACAATTATAATTTAGATTAATAGAAATATTTTAAATGCATTATATAAAGACAATATATAGTAAAATAATATAATAGGAGGATATATAAATGTAAATAAATCAATAAATATGAATATATAAGGGGTCATGGTGGCGCAGTGGGTAGCACGATTGCCTCACAGCAAGAAGGTCGCTAATTCGAGGCCCATTTATGTTTGGAGTTTGCATATGTTCCCCATGTTGGCATGGGTTTCCTCCAGGTGCTCCGGTTTCCCCCACAGTCCTAACACATGCACTATAGGGGAATTGAAAAAGCTAAATTGTCCGTAGTGTATGTGTGTGATGTGAATGCAAGTGTGTTTCCCAGTGTTAAGTTGCAGCTAGAAGGGCATTCACTGTGTAAACATGCTGGATAAGTTAATTCCACTGTGGCGACCCCTGATTAATATACATTGCTAGAACGAATGATCAAAATTAGCAGTTTTAGCTAACATTAATTATCATGTTAGAAAATTAGCATGCAATAACATTATTAACATAATGTAACATGCTGGTAGCATGTTAATCACATTCCTAACATGAATTATAAATTGACATGTTTAGCTAACATGAATTACCAAATTATAAAAGTAGCACATTTCAAACATGCATCAGCAGATTATTAGCATGATGTAACATGTTGAAAGCATGTTTAATCACACTGCTACAGTGAATCATCCAAATTTACATGTTTAGCTAACATGAATAACCAAGTTAGAAAATTAGCATGTTTCTAACATGCTTTAGCACATTACTAGGAAGACATAACATGCTGGCAGCATGTTTGATCACATTGCTAACATGAATTATGAAATTTGACATGTTTAGCTAATGTGAATTACCATGTTAGAATATTAGCACATTTCTAACACGAATTAGCAGACTATTAGCATGATGTAACGTGCAGCATGTTTGATCACATTCCTAACATGAATTATCAAAATTAGCATGTTTAGTTAACAATATCATGTTATAAAATTAGCACATTTCTAACATGCATTAGCATATTATTAGCATTACAGAATATGTTAATAGCATGTTTAATCACACTGCTAACATAAATGATCCAAATTTGCATGTTTAGCTAGCGTGAATTACCAAGTTAGAAAATTAGCATGTTTCTAACATGCTTTAGCACATTACTAGCATGACATAACATGTTGATAGCATGTTTAATCACATTGCTAAAGTGAATTATCAAGATTTGCATGTTTAGCTAACAGTATCATGTTATAAAATTAGCACATTTCTAACAAACATTAGCACATTTTTAGCATGACATGACATATTGGCAGCATGTTTGATCACGCTGCTAACATGAATTGTCAAATTTGACATGTTTAGCAAATGTAAACTACCAAGTTAGGAAAGTAGCACATTTCTAACATGAATTAGCAGACTATTAGCATGATAACATGTGCAGCATGTTTAATCACATTCCTAACATGAATTATAAAAATTAGCATGTTTAGCTAACAGTATCATGTTATAAAAAAGCACATTTCTAACAAACATTAGCATTTTTAGCATGACATATTGGCAGCATGTTTAATCACACTGCTAACATAAATTATCAAATTTGACATGTTTAACTAACGTGAATTACCAAGTTAGAAAATTAGCATGTTTCTAACAAGCATTAGCTAATTATTAGCATGATGTAACTTGTTGGCAGCATGTTTGATCACACTGCTAACATGAATTATCAAAATTGACATGTTTAGCTAATGTGAATTACCAACCATGCTGAAAAATCCAGCTTAAACCAGCCTGGGCTGGTTGGCTGGTTTTAGCTGGTTGACCAGCCTGGTTTTAGAGGGGTTTTGGCCATTTCCATGCTGATTTTTAGCCATTTCCAGCCTGGTCTTAGCTGGTCAGGCTGGAAAATTACCAGCCAAATCCAGCTAAAACCAGCTTGACCAGCCTGGTTTAAGCTGGATATAGCTTGTCTAGGCTGGTCAAGCTGGTTTTAGCTGGTCATCTCCCAGCCTGAAAAAAACCCCCTCTAAAACCAGCCTGGTCGACCAGCTAAAACCAGCCAACCAGCCCAGGCTGGTTTAAGCTGGATTTTCAGCAGGGAAGTTAGAAACTTAGCACATTTCTAACATGCATTAGCACATAATTAGCATGACAACATGTTTGCAGCATGTTTAATCACACTGCTAACATAAATGATCAAAATTAGCATGTTTAGCTAACAGTAGCATGTTAGAAAATTAGCACTTTTCTAACACACATTAGCATATTATTAGCACAACTTAAAATGTTGTTAGCATGTTTAACATGTTGCTTGTGTGAACTAGCTTGTTATTAGCTTATTCTATAATGTGGCAATACGTTTGAAAACTGAGCAACTCTCAGTCCTGTTTTACGTGTTGTTGTGTTCAGGAGGAGTGGTGCATGACTCCACCGTCCAGCCCTGATCAGGAGCCGCTGCAGAGGTCACAGGTCAAACCACAGGCCATCAGTGTGATCCGCCACACTTCAGACGTCCCAGATCTCCCGTCAGCCCCTGCTGTAGCACCGGCACACACACTGATTCTAGCGTCCGCGAGTGTGTGTCCGCCGTCTGTGCTGTTTGTGGACTCAGTGCTGCTGATCGTGTCTCCTAAACACACAGCTTCATACGGTCTGAGATTCATCGCTCCAGCTCCAGGACAGACGTCGTCCCCACACACCACTGCGTCTGCAGGCGTCCCGTCACGGCCTCGAGATCACATCTGCACACACCCCGACTGCGGGAAAACATACTTCAAGAGCTCGCATCTCAAAGCACACCTGAGGACACACACAGGTACTGAGAACACCTACAGTCCACATATAAAATGCTTAAGCAGTTGGATACACAGGTTTAAGAATCCAAATTTCATGAATTATTTAGTCGCTACCCAATTTTTTCGGTACATTTCTGACAACCACTGATTGTTATTATTATTAGTTTGTTTACTGATATATTTGTTGTCCTCTGTGCTGCAGGTGAGAAGCCGTTCAGGTGCTGCTGGGACGGCTGTGTGAGGCGTTTCTGCAGATCTGATGAACTGTCCCGTCACCGGCGCACACACACAGGAGAAAAGCGCTTCTGCTGTCCCGTCTGCCATGCTCGATTTGTGCGCAGCGACCACCTGAGCAAACACACACGTCGTCATCTAACATTCAGGAGAAACACAGCGGCATCACAGAGAGAAATGAACATCAGCCTGCAGCCTCTCGCACCCAAGACTGACATCTGCTGAAACAAGGACATCACTACTGCCTTTATTGATTGACATACACATTTACCTTCATACAGTGCAGGGTTCAACCCAAAGGATTTTTTATACGGGTCCGATCGGGCCATTGGTTGAGATTTTTACTTGGCCTGCCAAAATTTTCACTGGCCCCACCAAAAAAACTAAAAAGTTAATAGCTATATCTTAGCCACATATTTTAAATAATGGCAAAATTGTGCCTGTGAATTTAAACATTTTAAATATGTTAATAAATCAACCCGGGCTCATTGTGGAAACGTAGCCCTGCGGATGTTTCTGCGAGCCGCGATTTACGTCCCGGGAGGTAAGTATTCGACCGTTTTTTTTGTTTTCGCGGATCCGCGCCGTTCTCGCGTGAAAAGCCCCCGGATCGGGGGAAAAAAAAAAAAGCAAAAGCCCTTGTCTTCGATTTCGACCGCGTTTTCGGATCCCGCCGCGTTCTCGCCCTCATTTTTCGGATTCCGTTTTTCGTCTTACCTGATTTCCGGAACCTGCTGTTCCCCGGACTCGATCCCGGTCGTCGTCCACCGCGGCCGGCTCCGGCTCCTCCTCCTCCTCCGGGGCCTCCGCTCCGCCGACGCAACGCTGTGAGCTAAGCGGACAAACTGATCGGGTCGGGAAAGCCCTCCACTCAGAGGCGAGCCTTCGGTCGGCAATCGCGAAGAGGAGGGGCGGAGCGGCGCCACACCGCCCTACAGCGTTCGCTCGAAAAAAAACAAACGCGGCCTTTACTTACCTCCGGCCATGTAAATTGCGGTCTCCAGAAACGTCCGCGGGGCTACGTTTCCAGAATGAGCTTAGGTTGTAATAAATGTATAGTGAGCAAAATTCAAGATTTTATGCAGTTAAAGAGCAGTATGAAAAATGTGCTGGTATTTTAATGCAATTATAAATTATTTTTTATAAAAACGGCTTGCCAAACTGACAACTGTTTTTTTTTTGTTGTTCTTTTTTTGAGTTTCTTAATTTTGTACCCATGTAATTGTCTGCTTCTTTAGAAACAGTTGTTGATGTTGCCATCTTTTCGCTTTACTGGTTGTTACCAGGTTACAAAAAAAAAACGTGCTCATCGTTACTGGCCGATAGAGGCCAGTAACATTCCTGTCTACTGTCCCGAGTGTCTTTCACGCTGGCCCTGGGCCTCCGGGCAGTCCTTATTGTTGAGCCCTGCAGTGCCTACAGAAAATCATCATACCCTGTGGATGAACATCTCGCACTGAAGAGTGTATGCCAGAGTGTAACCCAGAGAGTGTAACCCAGAGAGTGTAACCCAGTATTGGGTTGTGCCTTGAAGGGCATCCGCTGCGTAAAGGCTGATTTATACTTCTGCGTCAAACATACGCGTATGCTTTGACGTTGACGCATAGCCCTTCGCCGTTGGCGTTGATGTCGCTGACGTGCACCTCTCAAAAAATGTAACTACACGTCGCAACGACGCGTAGTGCAAGCTCTGTGATTGGTTGGCTTGGTGGCACTGACGAGTCTGGGCGGGACCGAGAGCTCGATGGAGCGATTGTTTACAAGTTTGGAGTCCCATGAAGGAGTTCCGAATGGAAAGTTTTGGTCTGTGTTTACCTCATAGTTAAAGTAGTTGCACGTCCGCCAGTTCCTGCCTCAAAATGAGCGAGTTTGAGCCACTTGTACATCCCGGAAGTGTTCAGGAAAAGCAAAACAGCAGCGAAGAAAGCATTATGTGGAACATAAATGGAAAAAAAATTATTTAGAGGTCTTCAGAATTGGGCATCACTTTAAGGTAACTTATGTCCATGAATCTGGAAAACATATTTTGGTTGTTCAAGTAAATTAATGAACGTTAAACTTCGCCACAACTATGTTTGTGCACCAGCTACAGTTGAAGTCAGAATTATTAGTCCCCATTTTATTTATTTTTCTTTTTTAAATATTTCCCAAATGATGTTTAACAGAGCAAGGACATTTTCACAGTATGCCTGATAATATCTTTTCTTCTGGAGAAAGTCTTATTTGTTTTATTTTGACTAGAATAAAAGTTTTTAATTTTTTAAACACCATTTTTAGGGTAATATTATTAGCCTCTTTAAGCTATATTTGTTTTCCACAGTCTACACAGAACAAACCATCCTTATACAATAACTTACCCTAACCTGCCTAGTTAACCTAATTAACCCAGTTAAGCCTTTAAATGTCACTTTAATCTGTATAGAAGTGTCTTATAGAATATCTAGTCTAATATTATTTACTGTCATCAAGACAAAAAGAAAATAAATTAGTTATTCGAGATGAGTTATTAAAACTATTATGATTAGAAATGTGCTGAAGAAATCTCTCCGTTAAACAGAAATTTGGGAAAAAAGTAAACAGGGGGTGAATAATTCTGACCTCTACTGTGTTTGTATAATATATATATATATATATATATATATATATATATATATATATATATATATATATATATATATATTTATAATTAAAACAGTACATCTATAAATAATATATTTAATAATGTGGAAGCGTTTACTTCAAGTGTATTATTTGGCCATGTATCTTTCTTGCCCCCTACTGAACGCATCAGGAATCAGCCTGGATCCAAGTCTACAGACGCCCCATATAAACTACAAACATGGCGGACTCGCGCGACCAACGCAAGTAGAGAGGCTTTGCCTTGGTGATGCTGCTATTTGGACTTCCTAGTTGATTAAGATGTTTCTTTGATCGGTAATTTGTTTTTCTTTCTGTATGTTCTTATAAGATTTAATAAAAAAAATAAAAAAAAAATCTAAAAAAGAGGCTTTGGTAAAGATGTTTGAATACTGGACAATATTTAAGCAACATTTTCTGCGTTAAATTTGATCAGGAAAAACAATATTTTAATAAGGAACAACAATATTTTAGACGTATTTTAATTTCTGAATGCATAATTATCCTGCTGCGAGGATGACGTGAGGAGATGATTGACAGGACTCGTAACTAGGCAACATAACGGTCCGTTAAAGAGGAATAACGGTAGTTTATCACAAAGCTTGCGTTACACACTCAAAAGTACGGTTTTTTAAAAGAAAGTTCAGACTCTTAGGACGTCGAATAATAACGTTAGGTCTTACCTTATCTAGAACGCGTCTTTCTCTTACTTCTTTACTGTAATAATCGCCACAATCCACGGTGACAGCTGTTCACAACTCGCGAGAGTCTCAATGACGGCAAATAACGCAATATTGGATATATCCAGCGAACTAACCAGTTATTTGATACTCCAAGAGGACATTTCTGCGATCATTGACTCAACATGTCTCTTCACACAGTTCTCCTGTCGAGAACGGACAGTGAAATGTCTATTTTCTTAAAGCTGCACCACAGGTTCAGTACCTCCACCTTTATCTTCCGGAACTTCCGGTCATCCGTCTCGACAACAGGTAAGCTCTCTTTAATTAAACACAGGGGAGAGGGTGATGATTTATGTCAGGAGGGTTGTTCCACCCCTTGTTTCTAGAGAACCATAGAAGAAATTGGTTATGTGACCACATACTTTTAAAGAGCCCTTCATTTACCCATCCGTCCTGCAAAGAAGACACTATGGCAAGCCGCATTGACATTTTATCTATAATCCGCACTAGGATCTATTTTCATGTACAAGTACTTTTTTTTTTAGATACTAGTATCTTTATTCCTTTAAGTACTAGTAGTTATTTATTAAATATAGTGCTTTATAAAAATATACTAGTGCTTACTTACTAGACACTACTTATTTAAGATACTACTACTACTACTACTACTTATTCGTTAGACACTAGTATCTATTTAATAGGTAATACTAATTATATGGCAAGCCGTTTTAACATTTAATCTATAACCGCACCATCTATTTTCTTGTTACTAGTACCTTTTATTTTAGATAATAGTATCTTTTCCATGAAGTACTGGTACTTATTCGTTAGTTACAAGTTCTTGTTCATTAGATACTTGTGCCTATACTTTAGATACTAGTGCTTACTCATTAGACACTATTCTTTTTATTAGATCCTACTAGCGCTCATTTTTAAGATATTAGTATCTATAGATGAATTACTGGTTTGCAAACATGCAGGATACGCACGCAGCGAGGTTGGATCATTCAGGTCTTTCATTGTCAGGCTGTGGTGAATTGTGCCAAAGGGGCTGGGTTAAGTTGGCACAACTCGCCCCGATTTATGATTAATTTCAGCGTATTATTTAATTGTAATTGTATATTGTATTCCTACATTTTACCACTTAAGCTTTGTGACTGTCATTGTGAGCTTTGCTGGTAAAAACAAATTAAATAACTATGATGGATTGATGGAGAAGCTTGATGATGCAAACATCAGCACATAGTTTCTAAGGCAAAGCTCTAAGAGGGAAAGCCCATCTTTACATTTAAGGAAAAATTGATGAAGTCGTTTCTAGACGTGATGCGCTCAAACTACCCACAACACAAAAACCTGCTGGTACAGCCAGAGGCGAGCAGAAGTTCTCATTCCCCTGCAGCGTCAACTAGCGTGGTGTAAAGTAATAGGCCAGATCTAAATTGTTGGTCTTCTTTGGTTCCACTAACCAAAGTATGAAACTGCGCCGAGGACGTCCTGAAGAAAAGGTTGAAGGACAATTCACCAAGAACTAAATTTAGCTAATTTACTCAAGTATTTTGATCACAAGTGTAGATATTTTGAAGAATGCTGCTAGCTGGCGCTCATCAACTTTTAGTAGCAAAGAAAATACTATAGATGTTAATGACTGCCATTTTAAACCATTGTTATGTGAGTAAACCTCAACATTTGGTGGTCAGACATTGAAAAACCCCTACAAATGGCCTGACAATGTGCTTTAAACATTACATGATGGTTAAATATTGTTATATTAAGGCTAAATTGAGTCTGCAGTTTGTAAAAATATGTTTGTTGTGTTGTTTTGTGTTGTGTTCACACTTATTGTCAGATAAACACACAGATAAAGTAGTTCAGGCATGTTTTGAGTGCATTACAGTCCCGTATCACTACGCTGAATGATTTCAGTTATGTTAATGCAAGGAGCCGGTGTAATGAACAAAGAGCAGGAGTCAGAGATACAGTTTATTGAAGACAATAGTTTACAGTTTGATCAACAGAAAACAGCTTCAACACACTCCATAGGGTTCATAGTCTCAATTTCACAGAAATCATAGGAAGAGCAGCACACATGTGGTCAGTGACTAAATAACATCATCAGGAGTTCATACTTCCATTGTTTTCTGACATGATGCTGTTTTCCGCTTCTGCTTCCCACATTGTGCACTTCCTCCTGGGAGTGTCGCATTCAGAGCTGCATGCAAATAAGGGCCGGCTAAAGCATCCCCATTGGTCCATTAGCTCTAGATTGACAGCTCCTCCTCCAGCCAATCAGGCG